GAGAACTTGAAAAGATTACCATGCGGCGTTGTCAATTTTTCCAAAATTTTTTCATTCTGAGTAGATATTATTTTTTTTTTGCGAATAGTTTCTAGAAATATCTGCGCCCCTAGAAATTGCGAAACGTCGACCGAGCGTGCGCATTCCTATTATTAGTTTGCTATTTTTCTCAACTTTATGTAAAAACTTTTATAGACTGCCAAAATAAATAACTCGATCACAATTTAATATTGAAAAAGTAGTGAAGACAGTTGCTCGATTCGCTTGCGTCATCGTGCAGGTAAGTTCGACAACCAATTTTCATCATCATTCTCATTGCCATACGAATTCTTGAGAAAAAAATTGGCGGCCTTGAAGAGGGTTATTTTTGTAATATAGAAAAATTATAAGTCGGTTTCTAAGACTGAATATTCCTCTTCATCAGCCACATGAACGTCATTCGACACTTCAGAGAAATTTTTGGCGTTGTAAAGTTTTCCTGTCAATCAGAAAAATTCCTCTGTTCTGTTGAAGTTGAGTTGGGCACATCTTTTATAAAACATATAGCGAGCAAGATCTCCAGCAAGGTACACTTTTTTACGTCCATTCGAAATTGTGATCGCCTTTGCGTGCCTCCAAGATGATTCAATGGCATTGGTGTGTAAACCCATTTCAGGGTCCTTGGAAGTTATTGAATGGTTCACTTTCAAGTGGTTGTAGCCTTCACGAGAAAAGTAATCATATGCTTTCCAGCAATCCGAATGGATTATTGATCCTTTCTCAATCCAGTTCTCTAATGCCGGTAAAAGGCTATCTGTATCTCGCCTTTCGACTGCAACTATGAACACTCTTTCCGTTCCATATTCAAAACCGACAAAAATCCATTGTTTTGTAAAAAACGCATCAAAAACCACCACCCTTCAAATCCACAGCAGCAGATTTCAAAATTTCCAATTGCTCTATTATTGATGTCAAATTTGCATTCGACACCTAAAAATTGACAAATCCCAATATTTGGAGAAATGTTAATTTGAATTTGGAAAATAATGGTCCATGTCGAAATTCTCTTGCATTTGAACAATTCCATTTTGTCTGTACCATATTGGTGCACACCCATCTCCCACCGTCTAACTTAACCGAACCTGACCTGACTTAATCTAATCTGACCTGACCTGTCCTGCTCTAACCTGACCTAACCTAACCTAACCTGACCAGACCTAACCTAACTTGACCTGACCTAACCCCACCTAACCTAACCTGACCTGACCCAACCCCACCTAACCTGATCAAACCAAATCTGACATGACCTAACCAGACTTGAGCTAACATTACCCAACCTGACCTGACTTACCATAACCTAACCTGGCCTAACCTAATCTGACCTAACCTAACCTAATCTGACGTAACCTACCTTAACCTAACGTGACCTAACCTGATCTAAACTGACCTGACCTGATTTAACCTGACCTAACCCAACCCAACTCGACCTATCTAACCGGACCTAACCTGACCTGACGTAACCTGTCCTAACCTAATCTGACCTGACCTAATCTACGTTGGATGGTGTGGGTGTTCTATAGATTTGTCATTGGTAACACTAATTATAGTAGACCTTCAGATTATAGAGTTTCAGAGTTGAGATCAGCTGGGTAACCACTATCAAGTCTTTTTTCGACAATGACACTCTCTGAAGTTTTTTCATCGTATAATTCAGCATACTCGTGTTCAACATCAGCAGATGTGGAAAGTTGAGGTTCTTGATTTAAAATATTTCTTAACATCTCTGTTGCAAAAAACTTGTCAACAAATAAAATGAATTTGTCATGAAATAAATATATTCTTAATGAAATAAAAAAATGTTGGAATTCAATGCCACGAAAACCCAGGCATCGGTTTTCTGCAAGAAGGTAAACGACGTAAATTTTTCCGAACTGGATATAATAATGTCAGGACAAACTATCCCACTTTCTGCTTCGGTGAGTTTGTTGGGAGTTAAAATGAACACATATATGTCTTGGCAGAATTGTGGCGCTGGAATTGCAAAGGCTGCTTCCCTAAAGCTTGGAACACTGTTCCGAACCTCAGCAACTTTTGATGTTGTATAAAGCTCAGACCAGACCTTCTTTGGAGTATTATTCTCATGTATATGCCAAGCAGAATAATCATCACGTTGGCACAATATTTTCGTGCTTTTACGACATTTAAGCATATCAACCAACATTTTATGGATCATATCGGAAGCCAGAAGTTGAATATTCAATGATTTCTCTCCTACTGACCATGACTTTGTATTGTTTGTCATCAATCATCGTGACAAACAGTATTGCTTGGAATAAACCTCATCAGTAATTATAGAAAAAAACGTTCGAACATCAAAAGCACATTGCTAAAATTTGTGTAATTAAATCCTTCGAATGAATATTTTACAACGCATACTCACCTTTGATATGAGGTTTGATTATTTTAATGATGGTATGGATTGATTTCGCGATAGTTGTCAATTTAATTGCATATTTTGCCTCGGCAGTATTATTGAAGGAACAACTCTAATACATGGTAATTATATATGTTCTCCAGGTCACTTTTATTATAAATTGAATACATGTTAATGCGTTTATTTAAACTGTACTTGGTTAACTATATAAATGCACCATTTTCATGTTACACAAAAAAAGCATTCTTATCGAAATCCAAGGAACCCAATTCTTAGATAACTTTCATAACTTTCAGTAATTCTTGTGTAACCCTTTCTCATTATTTAGTATGTTTTTATTTTTATTGGGAAGAATATAGTCGCGTCTACCACGTAAGGTTATGGGCAATTGAATATTAAAAAAGGTTTATCTCAACTTCTTTCACAAAAATGAATTTGGACGTAATTTGGAAAATATTGGCAAGAAAAATTTCACAAAATGGTTCAGTGAAACATGGTGTGACGTCACCAGATATATGAAAGGCAGAGCCATTTACAATTCGTCATTAATTTCAGACGTTTTTGCGTGGGCGGTGTGGAAGTTCAATTCATTTATTGATTTTCTGTAGTTGTCTGCTCTTGTTGCAGAAGTATGATAGATAAAAACAGTGCAAAAAAAGGTAATGTATAGTACATGAGTGTTTTTCTTCTGCCTGAAACAAATTGCTATAAACCGTTACCTGAACTGAAAACGTTAACATAGTCATTTTTCTCAAAGTATGAGAGAATTCAATTCAATTTCACCATGAAATTACAAATGGTCTTTAACATACCGTATACGCAGTATTTCACAATTTCCTCTCAAAATACATGTTAAATTCAATCGTCATGCCTTCTAACGAACGAGAGTTGGGAGCCAGGAAATGAACATGTCTTCCTTTTATACCACGACAGACTTACAACAGACGTTTCAGAGACGGGAGACAGCCGCTCGCACCTATGACGATTAAATCATTCGTTCACTTATGAGAGACGCGGAAGAGACAGATCCTCGTTTTGCATCCGATTGATCCCTGACCTGAATCAACAACTGGATAAAAACTTGTGAATTATTTCTATACGCACTATACTATACTACACTGTCTATACGATAATGGAAAAACCATGAAAACATGTTATTCTGAAAGTGGAATATTTGAATGCGTATTCATGAATATTGTATTGTGACATTATCAAATATATAAATACGTGTAAATCAGAAAAGCGTTAATTTCACAAATGAACTCAAAGGTAACAACAGACGTATTAAGGTACTTATTAATGAAAGAATGAAGGGTTATAGTCTTGATCAATTAGCACTCTGATTTATTCAACCAAATATTTTGTTTTACTGAAGACAACATATTCATCTCATCGTTCAATGTATTATCCCGAACTTCTTTTGGCGACAGTAAGACATTTTGAATATTTCAAAAGAGTGGAAACAAATTTGACCACAATCGGAATTCAATGCCATGATAGCCAATGCTTTTCCTGAAAAAGGCAATGCTGCAAAACCTGTCACAATAATCTATTAGCATATACCGTTTTATTGGCTGCATAGACTGATTCTTAGGTGTCAAATCAGAGAGCAATGTCTTGATACAATCACATTACTGAAAGATGATGAAACATTATTTTGAACCAGAAAGTTACATAATATTTTTTACATGTTTCAAGCTCTGCCACCAAGCATTGGTTGGTCTACCTGTTTTATCCGAATGAAACAGTTTCTCTATTTTAACTAATTGCAGACCCAAATATCATGGACAACATCTTCATAGTTCACAAAAGCACAAGAATTTGAAAATATTTCTTTAAACACATTCAGAAGAGGTATTCGACTGTCAAGTCTTAAGTTGGAGTTTCAAATCGCTCATCCTGTACTTCAAGAATCTGAAAATCCTTACGCTTTCATCACTATTAATT